AAAAAAAAAAAAAACATAACAGTTCAAAAACCTTAGACCAGACCAAACCAAATTATCAAGCAACTGCCAGGAAAAAAACACCACAATAAACAAAGGGATTCTGTTCCGTTTCTATGAATGGTAGCTTTTCAGAACAGAATTCCACTTATACAGACAAAAGTTACCCTGCTCCAAGGCTGGCAAAACATATTAAATTGGTGATTTTCCCATTTGTTTATTTTTATTTGAAACAGCATCTCACAATGTAGTCCAGGCTGGCTTTGAACTACCTATGCAGCCCAGGTTGGCCTGGAACTCATGGTGATCCTCCTGGCTCAGCCGCCCAAGTGCTGGAATTACAGGCATGAGCCACTACATCTGGCTATAAAATCTAGGGGTTCTCAGATTCAGTCCTTACCAAATAATGGTAAGATACAGCCACCCCCAGGAACTACCACCAAATCAAATTATGACCATTTTTCTTTTTTCTTTTTTTTAGAAAACTGCCTTTATTCTATTAGTTGGAAAAATTAACCGGTACAGAAAAAAAAAGTTTAGTCAGCTGGAGAGAAGAGAAAAACTGAGAACCATGCCTGAGAACTGATGGCTTCTCGGGGAGGGCACCTCAGTAGGGGAGGAGAAAAGAGCGCTGTGAATGAGAGCCAGGCCCTGCAGCCCAGCTGACAAAGGCTATGCCATCTTCAAACTAAATTCCTAGCTACTAACCCAGTTCTGGAGAAGGGAACTAGGATATGTGGGGCCCAAAAGGGGCAATAGCCTTCTTGTATCAGACAAAGTGAAAAAATGGGGATTTTAAAAAATGAATTTTCCATCTGATTTTATTTCCAAATATACCTTTTTTTGTGTGGAACTGGGGATTGAACTCAGGTCCTTTGCTTGCCAGGCAAGTACTTATTCTACTGAGCTATCTCCCCAGCCCAAATGATTGAAACTTTTTTTTGGCGGAACCGGGGATTGAACTCAGATCCTTGCATTTGCCAGTCAAGCGCTTATCTTACTGGTCCACCTCCCTGGCCCCCCAAATATACTTTCTTGTTAAAAAACAAAACAAAAACCCCACCAATACATTCTTTGTGGTAATGACAAGTATCAGTATTAGGAAATCCAATTATACAAAAAATACTATAGTCTGGGTAGATATATTTATTTTTGGTAACATACATTAAGTGGCACTAATTACATGGTTAACTATAAGGTAACTAACATGAAACCGCAGAACTCTAACTCTGCCACAGCGGCATGGACTTGGGGCTTCTGGCTGAGCATGTTTCCAAAAAAACTGTCTGCCCACCCCAGAGCGATGCCAATAACTCCATGAGGAGTAAGACTCTGAAGTGGGGACTCATCAGAATTCCCTGCAACTGACAGATTAGAGGCAGGACATGTTAGTTATAAAGTAGGTACAGCCTAATTCACAAAAGTTACTAACTGTCTCTTTCTAGAAAGAAGCAAGAAGTTAAGAAATTCTTTGAATTAGCGCCTGGTGTGTCAGGTGGAGTGCAGAAAGGGCTGATAGAGAAGCGTCGGAGGGTCCTGGCAGGTCAGACAGGTGGGACATCATCATTAATAATCACTGCTGGCTTCTAAATACCGGTAGCAAGATGACTTCTGATTTGTCATCAAATCAGAAGGTAAATTATAGATAAATGAAAAAGGCCAGTAATCATATGCTAAGATTAATAAACAGCACTTCAAAATTAACCGCGTGAGGGCTGTGCTTGCAGCAAGGTTTCACAGGACAAGGCACCCAGATGTTTTCTTCCCACGCCTGGCTTGCAGAGCAGCTCTCGTGGCCATTTCTAAAACCTCTCTCACTCCATCTTTGGTCTTTGCTGAACACTCCATGTGCCCAAAGGCGCCGATCCTGTTGGCCGTATCTCTGCCTTCTTCAGGTTTTACTGGCTCCTGCTTCATCTTGGCTAACTCCCGTCTTGTGTGCTCATCATTCCGAAGATCCTTCTTGTTTCCACCCAGGATAATGGGTACATTGGGATAAAAGTGCTTTACTTCTGGAGTCCATTTTTCTGGGATGTTTTCTAAACTATCAGGGCTGTCAATGGAGAAGCACACCAGTATAACATCGGTATCTGGACAGGAGAGAGGCCTCAGGCGATCATAATCTTCCTGTCCAGCTGTGTCCCACAAAGCCAACTCTACCTCCTTTCCATCCACTTCAATATCTGCCACATAGTTCTTAAACACTGTGGGAACATATACTTCTGGGAACTGGTCCTTGCTGAAGACTATGAGGAAGCATGTCTTACCACAAGCTCCATCACCAACAATCACGGGTTTCTTTCGGATGGCAGCCATTGCTTACAAATACACTGCAAATGCACAGCCTGTGTAGCAAACTTGTAAAAGTACCTCGAACTTCGCAGATGATGGCTCGGCGACGACCCCCGAGTCCGGCCTCTTCACGCCAACGACGCCTGTCCACGAGTCCCAAGCTCAGAGACTAGGGCGGATCTATGACCATTTTTCCTAATAAAAAATATCTAACTTGAAAAGAGTTTTCTACACTTCAACTTTCACTCCCACATAGTCTTCTTCAGGGCGCGAGCTCTCCACCAGGTGGATCCAATGAAGAGCAAGTGAATGCTAACAGGGAAAGCAGGAAGCCAACTGCGAGCTCTCTGCAGGCGACAGCAGGCTGTGGCTGGAATTTAATAGTGCACACGTGCGACACAGTCATATTTTCTGCGAGTCAGGGTGTGCAGCGCCGTGACAGAGTGAGACAGATGAGTTTCCTAGGTGGAGGCGGCGCTCATTGTCACGGCGCCTTGAACAAATGTGACCAAAATGACAGGACGGCAATGGCTTGGTCAGGCACAATG